CCCCCACGCGCGCCTCTCCGTAAGCGCTAAGGCGCCCCGGTGCTGGTGCAACCGCGCGCTCCCGGGCGCCGCTGTGCGTGGCGCTGCGCTCACCTCCCAGGGGGGCTGGGCCAGGCGCTTCCCGGCTAGGAAGCCTCGCTGGAAGCCGAGCGCCACCTTCCCCTCCAGGGCCTGCCCTCCTTCCTCCATCGGCTCCTCCTCCGGGCGCTCGGCCGCGACGCCCGGCCTTCCGGCGGGGTGGGGGGGGGAGGTTCAGAGGCCCGCCCGCGCCCGGGGGGGGGGGGGCCGCTGCTGGGGGCGGAGCTTCCGAGGGGGTCGGGGGTTGCCAGCGGGGAGAAGAGATTGCAGGCTAGGAAGGCGGAGGGGCTGGAGTCCCCCGTCTGGACGCGCCCTTCTTTTTCAGCCTGCCAGATGTGCTGCTACTGCAGTCTCCAGAACTGGAAATCTTTGACCCTTAAACATCTGGATTAAAACGCGGGTGTTTTGTTCCTGCTTTGGGGTTGATCTGGATGCAGCTTCGGGAAATCACGGGAAGGAGAATTCCTGATATTGAAAATGAAATTAGGCAGCTTTTGCTTCTCCTCCTAGCCTTCCCTTAAACCATCTTCCCCCAGTTAGTGCTAAATGGAGGGGTGCTGCGGCTGAAAGCCACGTGGCGCTCCCCGCTCCAGACCCCGGAGCTCTTTCCCCCTCTTCCGTGAAAGAAAAAGCTCTCTGCACATGCTCGCAGCTGCTGTGTTCCTCTCCCCCCCCCCTTTTCCCCATTGCAGCTCTTCCTGATTTTTTGCAGCCCTGGGCTGAATTGAGAGGGAACCCCCTGCCTCTTTTCTCAGCCTCCATCCCCCGTTTTTCTTTCTTCTGCCATAGGCAGAAAATCAAACGAGAAACACATTTTAAAGAAAAATTAAAAGAAATCCCTTTTAAAAAAACTTTACAAGATTTCATGGAAGAACATAGGAACTGCGTGAAAATGTAGGTGTTTTTAATTTGGTTTTATTACAGAAAAACATTTGAGGGCCAAGGGGCCAGTGCCCCATTGCCACCCCCGGAGACTTCCGCAGAGGGGCCTTCGTAGGCTTCTGAATGATGCTTCTTGTGGACTTTCTGTCTTTGCTCAGAGCATCTGAGAACGGCAGGGGCCTCTTCCAGCAACACCTGCCTGCAACAGATTGGCCAGAACGTTCCTTTGCAGAATAGAATTCTCTTCTATGAGCACAAATGCCTTTTGCGGAATCAAGACGCAGGACCCGACTGCAAAGTGATCAAGGCTTCACTGCAGTGTTTATTAGACAGTGCGTCCTGGAGGGGGACCCCGCCAAGGGATAGCGAGAGACCCCCCTCCCTCTGCAGACACAAGAGATGCTCTGATATTTACACATTTCAGGAAAGGGAAGGGAAAAGGAGGCATACATACATACATATTCACATGATGATGCAGACATACATGAATAATAGATCTCCGGTTACTTTCTGCCCCTCTGTTTATCTACTGTCGACAAGGGAAGTGATAGCCTGACTGAGAAGAAGAAACGAATCAGTTCAAGGTGCCAGATGCCCGGAAGAACACATCCTCCTTCAAGGCAGATGCCTTGGGAGGTCACACCAGCTGCAAGGGTGCTGCACGGTCTTCTATGTTTCAGTTTTATTAAGGCACTCCCATTCCTCTGAAGCCTCTAGAAATGTGGAGTCCTTGGGTTCTCTGAGCTTCGTTGTTTTCTTGCAAACGTTTCAGTACCCAGCTAGGGAACATCTTCAGTGCGAGCCAGAAAACAACCGAGCTCAGAGAACTCAAGGACTCCACAGTTCAACCTCCTGAGCTACACCTATTTGCCTCTAGATATTTACTTTCTTCACCCGAAAAATGTATTTCCCCATACTTTCTTTGCCATTTTTGTCTCCTCTTGGCCAGTCTTCGCCCATTCTGGTTGGGTGGTGCTGGATTTTTGCTTTATCTGGCATTTGCTTGAGGAAGAGTCCCAAAAGCATATGATCTTGAGTTGGCCTCGAGGCTGAAAAAATCAATAGGGCGCCCAGGACAGCATGCTTGAAACACCACCCTCTTTACGGGGATTGCTTCCTGGCCAATGTAATTAATGCCTTGGCATATATTTTGACATTCTATTTGCTGTCACTCTCCTTTTAACAGGATTGTTCTTGTCTGTCATTTCATTTGTGTAAGATGCTTGGAGAAGTTCTGATGGCTATATATAAAAATAAAACTCATCAACAGTTTTCATTAGCTATAATTCATTAACCACCTTTCGTCCATGATTAAATCATACCTGTGTTTTGTTATCTAGAGCCTTGAAGAGGTACTAAAACATTCAAAGGATTCCTCTCCATTTTTGACTGTTCTGCAGAAGGTAAATATTTCTTTGGAACTGGACATCGTTTCCTTCTCCATCTTTCCAGACAAATTGGTGGAGAAACTGAGGCAGTGGGGTTCCGAGGGGTAACCCTAATAAACTGTTGCAAGACATTCTTCCATCTCTCTCTGTTTTGCACAGATTATGCGCAAGCAATATCATGGCTGTGTTCACACCTCCCTCAAAGCCAAGATGTGGTTTCTTTAGTTTTGTCTTCCTGTGCTCCATGGAGATAGCCATTGTGGTTTTGCAAATCATGAGTTATGGCTTAGCATGATTTGTGAACCTGATCCTTATGATCCGAAAAGCTTGGTTTATGGCTTAGCATAATATGCAAACGTGGCCATTGTGACGTGTGAAGCAAACCATGGTTTGGCACCTAGTCAGTGAAACTTTGCCCCGATCTGCCTTTTCCAAGAAGGCATGCCATTCAACACTCTGTCCCACCTTATTCAGATGAATAATTTGCAGACTCATTTCCTTCTATTCTCATGATACTAAACTCTTATGGTGTTTAGGACTATCTGATAGCTTGTTTCATTCTGCAGGTAGAACTGTCTTTTCAACATTTTTTACAGGTGGTCCTCGGTTAATGACCACTCGTTCAGCGACGATTCAAAGTTATGACAGTGCTGAACGAGGGGTACTCGCAACTGGTCCTCGAAGTTGCGGCCATCCCAGCACCCCAGCAGTCACGTGATTGTGATCCAGGCTCACGCTTAGGATGGTTGCAGCGTCCTGCAGTCACATGATCGCCATTTGCAACCTTCCCTGTCAGCTTTCCACAATGGGGATGCCAGCAGAGAAGGTCGCAAGTTGTTCCTGCCACTTTTTCTCCCAAGGAGCCCAACTATGGAGCATGAGACCCACAGCACACCCCTCCGTCCACACTCTGTAGGGATCGCCTAGCCACCCTCGTGCTGGGCTACAGCGCCCTCCCCCTGCCCAGCCACACTCACGCTGCCACAGCCCCCCCCACACACACACACACCCTCCAGCCACACTCCTGAGTGCTCACCCACCCACCAGCGTGCTTGTGAGCTGTTCAGGACTTGCAACTTCCTGACGGCTTCCCCCTTTTTTTTAATATACAATTTTTATTAAAACTTTTTAAAAGAAAGATAAAAACTAATACAAAGTGATATAAAGTAAGGAGGAAAAAGGAAAAGAAAGAAGTCAAAGAGAAAACAAAAAATGCAAGAAAAGGAAAAGAGCTAAAGAAAAATAGAAAACAAAAAAGATCCAAAGCAATGGCTTCCGATATTCTTCACAGCAGTTATAAGTACAATTATATTTTAACCTCTCTCTCTCAAGTGACATCATGATGCTCTTCTTTCTATAATCTACCCTGTCTAATCATCAAAGCCATAAATCACAAGTTCATTTTTTTTCATTTTTATGCAAAAAGTCCATAAGAGGTTTCCCATCACCAATAAACATAGATATTGTCCTTTCTCTAATCAAAGAAGTGAGTTTATCCATCTCAGCAAGATTGGTCAATTTCACCAACCATTCCTTCATAGTGGATAGCGTCGAATCTTTCCATCTCTGTGCATATAATCATCTTGCTGCAATAATCATATATTGAAATGACTCTTTTCTAACTGGGTATCCATCAGTCCTAAAAGGAAAAGTTCTGGCTTCAACTGAATATTAATCCTTAAAATCCTCTGTATCAGTTTACGTATTTGAAGCCAATTTTTTTTAGCTTTTGACATGTCCACCAACCATGATAAAATGTCCCCTACAGCTTCCCCGTTGACTTTGTTTGTTGGAAGCCAGCAGGAAGTCACAAGTCATAGTCACGTGAAGTCCTCACTTAACGACAGCAGCGGGGAGTGCTGGGATTGCCGTCACTAAGCAATGTGGTCACGTGACATCACGTTTTACAACCACATCACTTAGTGACAGAAATTCCAGCCCCAACTGCCATCATTAAGCGAGGACTACATGTAACCCCACTCTATTTCAATAAGTGATACAATCTGATTTGGCAATATTCTTAATCCAGCCTTGTCTTCTACTAGATATGAGTTCATTTTGTCATGTTGGCATCTGCTCTTCTTTTCATTGTTTCAGACTGTTTTTCATCCACTCTGCTTGAAGTATCCTCCATCAGTTAAATACAGAAGACGTTTCTTATCAGAGCTGATCAAAAAGGTATTGTTGGGTTTAGGGTAACCAACATCCAGATGATCATACAGGTTAGATCATTGTAATAAATTCATCAAGGGACTGTCCTTGAAGACAGCCCAGAAACTGTCTGACTAGATTGGAATCCAGTCAAACTACCCTGATTGCAGTGAGATTTCAGAGAATGATCATTTATTTTGAAGCTGAATTAAATGTGTGACTTGGTGGGTTTCATGAAGCCAGCTGAAAGGTTTCTTCTTTGGTGGCTCTGCTTCAGATCCCTTTGCTACCTAAATATGTCCTGTGTCAGAGGTCCTGAATGGTCAGATATACAAGTAAAATAAAGAAATTAAATAATAGTCTGGAGTATACCCATAAAGGAGGTCTCCTTAGCTACTTTCACGTTCCTTGGTCACATTTAATCAGACAGACAAATACTTTTGTTCTGGTAACAGTGGCATCCTTGGGGGGAGGTCAGAAAAGTCAAGATGGCGAGCACAACCATGGGATTGAATCTACTTTTTTCTGTGCAACAAATATAACAAGCAAGCCAGGCTTCAATCACAGGATCATAGCTACCATCTTGACTTTTTTGACCCCATCCCCGTCTAGCCATTTCCACTAATACTTGTGATAACTTTTGATTTATTTATTTTTAGAGGGTTTTGAATGTTTTATTTTATTTTTTACATTATAACTAGATGTTTTGATCCCCATTGCAACTGATGTAAATATAAATTTTGAAGAAAGTTGGACTGTATCTTGAGATTCATGCCTCACCTAACAGTTGGGAGGGTTTCATTTTTTATGACTGATGTCTGTTTATATGACTCTCTCCTGCTATTGCAAAAAGCAGGCCAGCCTGGGAATTATTCTGCAGCCAGGTTACGGGAAACGTTATGCAAGGAGATGAAATAAGACGTCTTCTGCTAACTTCATTTTCTGTCTGGATCATCTTCCCAAATTGGCATCTTCTTCTCCTCTCATTTCCTTAATCGCAGCACGAATCTACAACTGCTGAACCTTTGGATCAACTCTATGAAGCCCTTGGGGATGTCCTAAATACTGAAGAAACTACACACTGTTACAAGAACTATTTATTGGTAAATAGGAAGTCTCTATGTTAAAAAAAATCAAATGTGAATAGTGCAATCATCTTTAAGTCTTCCAACCTTTTATGAATTCTACTAGAACCTGGAGCCTAAGTTAGAAATCACAGCACACTCTAGAGCAATGTTTCTCAACCTTGGCAGATTTAAGATGTGTGGACTCCAACTCCCAGAATTCCCTAGCCAGCCATGCTGCCTGGGGAATTCTGGGAGTTGAAATCCATACGTCTTAAAGTTCGCAAGGTTGAGAAACACTGGCCTAGTTTGTAATGGTTGGCTCCCAGAATGATACCCTCTACAAAGCCAATTTTAACCAATTCATTATAAGTCTAAAGCAATGTTTCTCAGCCTTGGGAACATTTAAGACATGTGGACTTCAACTCCCAGAATTCCCCAGCCACTGGCCTAGATTGTAATGGTTGGCTCCCAGAATGATAAAGACTTGGAGACCATTGGGTAAGCAACCAACTGCAAGTTGCGTTGTTATCAGTGAAAAGACCCTAATGTGCTTTGAGATATATTGACCCTAGATGGGAAAGTGTTCAGTTGCTGGAATGACCATATATACTTGTGGATAAGCCCATCCACAGATAAGCTGGCCCTTGAATTTTTAGCCAAATACCATGAAAACTATGCCACCTGCAGCAAAACCCACCCTTCGAATTTTTGTATGTTTTAATTTCCGTAATTGGCTTATCCAAACCAATCTTTATTAATGCCATGTTCTGTTTAAAAAAACAAAAAAACCCAAGATCTACATTGTTTGAAGATGCTAAACCCCTGCCCTCTTGTTCCTAAGGAAGCAGTTACATTCTCACAGCATTCACAATAGGCCTCACTAAATTTGCTCCCAACCAATAAAATAAGCTATATAGACGGTAGGAAAATAGCTGGGTTAGGCCTCATTAATACACAGATGGGACACCACCAGGGAACACCAGGGCAGAGTGCCAGACTGGGAAGTCAATGTTGTCCTGAAAGAAGACAGTGCAAACTCCCTGTTGTGCTGTTGCCGAGAAAACTGCGTAGATGTTTCCTACAACATCACCAGGAATCTAATTCAACTCAAGGGTGTCTTTCTTTCCCTTTATTGTCTCCAAACGTGACGCATCCTTCCTACCAATATGTTCTTCTTAGCCCTCAGGAGATGCCATTACGCTTCGTGAAAACGTTGCAATAGTTTCACAGGGCACCACAGGTCTTGTCACGTGGGAGGCTGGCCTCTACCTGGCGGAATGGGCGCTGGAGAATTCAGACATCTTCAGGTACAGGTACGGTTTCTCCTCTTCAGGCTTGAATGGAGCCAGAGTGTGTTAAGGCTTAGCTCTGAGCCCTCTTTGGAGACTTCTGTGGACTCACAAGGAGGTGGACCTGTTGGGAAAACTTAGCAAAGGATATACTTTTTGAGAAAATGGAAGGAAAATGAACATAAAGCCACCTGTATAATACACCATGATATATTCCTTGGATTACCTTATATCCTGTCTTTCTCTGAAAGGGAAGCAGCTTGCATGGAGAACTCTCCTCATTTTATTTACCAATCAGATAGGTTGGGCTGAGAGATACTGACTGGTCCAAAGTTACCTGGTCAGTTGCCATGGCTAAGGATGGATTTGGACCAAGTCCATCTTCTTACTAGCTCCACAGCCCTGAGAAGAACTGGTGAAATGAATGGTGGACCCAAATCTTCCCTTCATCTCTTTTGTTTCTTGCTCTTTCCTTAGAAGAATTTTGGAGTTGGGAAGTGGGATTGGATTGACAGGAATTGCCATTTGCAAGGCTTGCCATCCAGGAGAGTACATCTTCAGTGATCACCATGAGGGTGTCCTTCAACAGCTGTCAGAGAATATCCACTTGAATGGTTTGGGTTTGGAGCCTGAATCACGCAGCCACCATGTAGAAGAAGGCCAAAGCCATCAAGACCATCTTCTGAGAGTAGACCACATCCGAATATCAGTAAAAGAACTAGACTGGAATCTGGTCTCCAAAGACGAGCTTGCGGAATTGCAAGCTGATGTCGTTCTTGCTGCAGGTAATGGAAGACCTCAGATCAAATTAAGCTTGATGAGTTAGGAGTAAATGGAAGCATGTTCTGTGCTTTGGGGTTTGGGGATGTGGATATAGCTACTTCCATTCTCTGTACGTAGAGAAAATACTTCATATTTATGTCTTTGCAGTATATCTTGACTCTGGACAAAATCATTTTCTTTCCAATAGCTATGAAAAGGTAAGGAGAAACCCTAAAGCCAGCTTCCATCTGAAATACAACAAAAACAAAACCCCAACTTAAACAGACTTCTTGTGGGGGCTAAACAATACATGCCTCTTTCTTACTCTAACTGTACTAACAGGAGGGCGAAAATAGCTCCTTGGGGTCCGGCATGAGCCAGCAGGTAAAATACTGGATAATCTGCTAATGATCTGCCTTGTTTTGGATTTTTTTGTTTTGTTTTGAGATGTTTGAGTCAATGCCTTTCCTTCCTCCATAGCTGGATCCAGGGGCGTCCGCAGGGAATGGTAAAAGATGGCGGCTGCAATGGGACCATTCAAGCTCCACCTGGTTTTTTGATGTATGTTGTGTGACTCACATAAAGAAATAGGTGGGACTTCAGTTGCTCCATCACAGCCACCATCTTGAAATTTTTGACCATACCTTACAGACACCCCAGTCTGGATCTATTTTAAATCACTGCCTATCCAGTGATCCACTCTCTCCAATAGATATCGCCTTGTCGTTTGCATTTTTAAAAATGCGTTACCTCAGTTGTCCCTTTTTTTTTCTCCTTTGAATGCATTCCTGTCAGATGTAGTATATGATCCGGAGCTGAGCCAGCACTTGATTGGTGTCTTGCAAAAACTTCCCAAGGACCGCAGGAATAAAGAGACACCTGAAGTTTACATTGCCTTCAGTATTCGAAATCCGGATACTTATCATGGCTTCCAAATGCAACTTGGTAAGCGTCACTGACCGGGAGTTGTGATTCCTTCCATAATGGTGGAGGACACCATAGAGCAGAAGGAGCCTGTTTTCTGGTGGCTCAGGACCAACGTTAAAATATGAGAAATAAGCCTAGAATTTGTCAAGGGTGGAATGCTTTTTGCTGGTTTCTTAGGCCTGCTCTGGAAAACCACTCTGTATTTTCCATTTTTCAGATTAATAATCATCATAAGTTATTACATGTATGCCGCTCAACTCTGGGCGGCTCACAACAATCAAACAAATTACAATAAAAGCAATAAGACTTAAGAGATAAAGATAAAAAATGGCAAGCACGATGACATGAGGGCTCTCCCTCCCCCTCACCAAAGGCCTGGGTGAAGAGCCAGGTCTTCGCGGCTCTTCTGAACAACAGCAGAGTGGGGCCAGTTTGGATCTTGGGGGGAACCTCGTTCCAGAGGGCAGGCACTGCTACAGAGAAGGCGCACTTCTGGGATCCCAATAGAAGGCATTGTTTAGTTCAAGGAACCTAGAGCATGCCTACCCTGAAGGATTGAATCAGGCAGGTAGATGCTATGGAAGACAGGTGGTCCCTCAAGGAACCAGGCCCTATGCCATGGAGGACTTTATAGGTAACAGCCAGCACCTTGAATCACACTCAGAAGCAAACTGGCAACCAGTGCAGTTCACAAATTAGAGGTGTTATTTGGGCATACCGAGGTGTACCCAATACTGCTCGTTCCACTACATTCTGGACCAGTTGAAGCTTGAATGAGGAGGAAACCACACAAGGGAGTTTCAGCAAATACAAAATCAGAATTCAGCTGTCTGGTTGGAGAAGGGGAGTGCCAAAAGAAAGGTCTGGGGAGCTCCAGCAAGGCCAGTCTCTGCTGAATTGAGATTGTGCTTCCCATGGTAATGCCCTTGCATAAAACACACCTAACCTCATTGAGATAGACGGAATCATAGAATTATGGCATTATGGAGTTGGAAGGGGCCACAAGGACCATCTCGTCCAATGCCCTGCAATGTGCAGGGAAAGCAGGTAAACCATGAAAAGGGGTCGTCCAGCCCCTTCTTCAAAACCTTCAAAGATAGAAGACCATCAACTTCCTTAGGTAGACTGTTCCACTGATGGAAAGATCTTACCATCAGAAAATGTTGCCTTATATTGAAACAAAATCTAGGAAGTGGCCCCTTTTACCCATTATTCCTGGTCCTAGTTTCTGTGGCCATAGAAAATAATTCATGATCATCTTCTCTGCAGCAGCCTTGCATGTACTTGAACTTGGCTGTCATGTCGCCCCTCCATCATTCTCTCTCTCTCTCTCTCTCTCTCTCTCTGAGATGACATTTTAAAGGAGATATATAAACAAACAAAGGAAACCGAGAAAGGGGGTAAAAGGGTACAATGCAAATGAATAAACATGGGATTTACGAGTGTCATGGAGTTTTTAATCTGCAGAGTATCATTAATTAATGGTGAATAAATATATCACTTTAAAAGATTGGAAAGCACTATTAAGCTCCAATCAAAGCGTGAATATCAGGAATGAACCTGTTTTAATAGGCACAGATGGTGTATATTCTTTCATCCTCCATACACCATCACTGAAGAATTCCTCTGCTAATTAATTATAGGCAATTAACTAGTTAATGGGCTGCACCAATCAAAGACACTACGACTGCTCTATCTTTCTTTACTTAACAGATTTTTTTTCCATTCTAAGGAACAATGGAAAAGGAGCAGAGGGAAAGGCATTTTCTACTCTTTGAGGTGATTGTCCACAGGACTGTATCACAGCATGGTGATGCTACGCTAGTCTAACAGCCAGAGGTGATTAGCAGGGGTTGTATATAGGTGAGCGCATGGAATTCCCATGCTGGCAAGGGACTGGCCTGGCCAAGGAGAGTCGTGGAGCTCTCCCTGTCCTCTGCATCCAACAGTGAAACTGCAAACATCTAGAGAAGTTTTCCTCTGCAACTATGATAGAAAAGCATCTCTCGGTTCCTGCTTCTTAAGCCCCTCAGGAAGCATTTTTTAAAAAAGTTTGCACACAAATAACTCTACAGGCCCACTTACGATTTTTTGTTAGTGCATCCCATTCTGTTATTGATCAGAATGAGCCACTGTACAGGTCTATGATGTGAAATTAAAGTGAGAAGGTTTGTGGGCATGGATGTCAGCTCCATCTTCCTTCCAAATATTCCAGCAGAGATCTGACTGAGTTTCAGAAAGTTGTGTCTTCACCAGAGATCCCCCACTGGAGCAAATTTGAACCGCCCATGAATTGAATAACCCCGTGTTGGCGGTGACCCCCTGTGTTGGGTGTTGGGGTGGGCATTCTGGACATTTCTGTATCCCTTCCTGATCTTAAGTCTATAGGTATGCAAGCAAAGGAATGCACAGAGTTGAATCCCACAAACAACTAAATGCTTGCATGCATGATTTTTGGGTGGTGCTTCACTGATATGGACCCTCAGTAAAACACCCAACAAAAGGAATCATTTATGAAATTACTCCCAAGGAATGCCACTTGAGACAGTGAATACGTCTTGATATTTCAATAGCTGTATTGCCAACTTCTTCAGATTGGAATTGAAGCCGAACCCTGCAAAAAATGCCACGTCCTTATCTTCGTGTTCAGTGGAATGTCCATAATCAAGTTCTAATCTTCAAATTGGCAACAGATACTAGTTTATGAATTTGTATTGCCTCTCTACTAATTCTATAGTATTTATATAGTATGGTATTTGCTATACCATGCCAGGAAGTTGACGTTCTCCAGAAATCCATTGAATTATTTGCACCATGGCTTGTAAAACACTAGTGTATCTTCAGTGTTTCATGCAGCATACCTGGAAATAATTTATCAATGCAAGCCTACTTTTTATGAAATTGGTCTTGATAGACCATCTATACGAATACCTCTCAATTGTTTTTGCAGTATGTCATTAATGCACTGCAGCAATGTAGAAAGGGGAATAAAATGCACTGAAGGTTCATATGCTGTATCTACAAAGAACTTTCTTTCAAAATCTGGACATTTCAAAATGAACCACTGTGAGTTTCGTATTTTGTGTATGAAAATGTTTGCAGACCCAGCAGCTTTTTTTCTTACCAGACATAGGTAAAAGTATTGCTAGAACTTCATGAAGCAAAAAGGAACTGCCAATTCTCATTCGGGCCTGGTATCAAGGGACCAATTAACTTTCACAGGAGTTGTATTTCCCATAACCAAGATTCAGAAAAAGTTGCCCAGAGTTGATGGAACTTTTTGTTATTTTGCTTGCATTCTCAAATCTTTGCAATTAATTAATAGAGTGTGCTTGGCTAGACTCCAGAGAAGCCATGTACATCTTGGGTGAGTATGGTGTTTGGGAGATACAAAGGCCTGATTCTTGTTTCTAGCCAATTTATCAAAGTTGCTAGTGGCCTTCGGAACAATCATTCTGAACCGTATCTGGTCCATTTCACAAATTAAACCAAGTCATTTGAGTTAGAAAAAAATGGGCAAAGATCAATATAGAAGGGTTCCTACATTTAACCATGTTTCTTCCTGCCTTTTTTTTTCTTCAGATAAAGTGGAGATTGGATGGGAAATTGTACCTACCTCTTGGAGGAATCTTTTTCCATATGACCAGCATGCTAATATAGTAATTTTAAGGTTGTATGTTTAATGGTTCTTCCCCAAACTCTTGGTTGGAAAGCTTTTTCCAAATATGATGATTGGAAATAACGTCAGCCATCATGACCTGGCTTCACTCTCAATGTCCAGTCTTCCCTCAAAACATCAAAATGTCTCTCACTGCAGCACCTGAGGGCAATTTGCTTCTTGTGTTATAACCAACAGGACTACAGGATATATTACTAAGGATGTGTGTGTATTATATTCTTTAATTATATGTCTATTATTAAAGGTTGGCCCCTTGGAATCCCAGAGAATATTCGTAATCTATCCTGTTTCTCTATATACTTATGTAAACTATGGAACTAACCAGCAATTATTTTTGTATAATAAACACAGGGATTAACTCTGTTTTGATGTGTTTTGACTTCTATCTGGGATCTGTTGCCACACTGTCACCCCCATGAGGTAGACCAGACCAGGAAATCAATTCTGCAGGAAGGCTAAAACCACTTTTATTGAGATTGGCTATAAGAACAGAATCTTGCATGTCTGATACCAATAGAATATGTATAATTCAGGGTTGAACCGTAGAGTCCTTGGTGCTCTCTGAGCTTGGTTGTTTGCTTGCAGACGTTTCATTACCCAACTCGGTAACATCATCAGTGCTCCCAAATCAGGGAGGTGTCCACCTGAATCACTTCCAAATGCTATCTTGTTTCTTAGAACTTAAAAAGTAGTTCAGCCCCTTTTGCCTACTCAACAATTTCTGCATACTTCTTCAAGATCATCTTCCTTACTCTCTATACATGTTTTCTTGGTTGACCATTCTAGAAAGTACTTCTTGCATAATGAAATTTTAACTTTGCAAAGCAGAAGGAGCATGCATTGTTATTTTCTGTGGGAGCCAAGGAGGTAGCCAATACAGTGGTACCTCTAGTTACAAACTTAATCCGTTCCATGACTCTGGTTGCAACTCGAGTTGGTCTCAAGTCCAAGTAAAGTTT